GTCAATGGGGATATCCGACTCACTTAACAACCGCAATAATTCACTTAACAAATGTGGCGAAAATAGTTGTAAAATGGGGCAAAAGCCACTTAACCAATTTCTCACTTAACAACATAACTTTTGGGCTCAGTTGTGGTCATAAGTTGAGGACTACCTGCGTAGATACTATGGATTTTTTTCAATGTATTATGGAACTTATGCATTTAGCAGTGGCATCCTGGCAGCTTTTATTTAATGCATTTTAACTCACCAATCTAAGATACTAGGATAGCAAATTTTAAAAAAAAGAATAAATAAAATGAAATACTGTATGCCCTAAATATAATACAACAGAAACCTAAAACTGCTCCAATAAAAGCAGAGCAGAGACATAAAAAGCAGAGGAGACTATATTCAAAGGGAACATTTGGAAGATTTATATTTACTTGTATTTGTTTGCTTGACACTTTTTTAATGCCATTGATTTGTTTTTACTGTATCATTTTTTTTGGTATATTATTATTAAACTGTGGCATATTTTGGCTTTTATGTCTTCTGCATACTGTTCTGGTATCTTAGGATAAAAACAGATTGAAGAAATTCTGATTATTAAATTAGACTATTAAATTAAGTTAGACACTAGGCAGTCTACTTTCCACAAATAACCAGGTAGTAGACTAAATGCCTTTTTGGGAATATGGGAATTAGTTAATTTACTGTTTATTTCTCTACATACAAGGAGAAGTAATCTGATCCAGCAGATTTTCACAACTATTTATATTCACAACAAATAAACACTGTATCCTTTCCTAACATCTGAGCCTTTTAAAAATGCAGATGATTTTGCTTTTCGTGATTTCTTGTGATACAATATTTTTCATGCATTTTACAAGGCTTTAACTTTCCTTCTGTACGTTCCCCTTAAAATAATAACCACTGTTCATGTAACCTTTAGAAGTATTCCTTTTTAAAAAATTTCTGTGTATATCTATGTGTACAGGTATGTATGTGTGCACGCATCTCTGTGTCTGTTCCTGCACTTGTGTGTATGAGTTTTTTAATCAGGGAAAGTAAAATGCTTGCCAAATTTTCCAACTTTTATATCCAAGCTAATACTTGAGCTTGTGCTTCTGCAAAATCTGATGGAAGCTGCATAGAAATCGAAGAGGAAAAATAAGATACAATAAGTATCTTAAGTACAAAAGTACAAAGTACAAAAGAAATCTGAAATAAGGTTATTTTATTACGTTACTTTTATGCCATTATCTAGGGAGGTGTGGCTTTTCAAAGAAGACTGATGTTAGATTATCAATAGGCAATCTTACCCCCTCTTTCCAACTAGCAATTAATTGCACCCATGAGCAACACTAAAGGCGGTACTAGTTGTCCAACTGTTTTTAATTATCTTCAGAATAGGCTCACTGCAGTTTGAGATATTTTGCAATTTATCAAACAGAAAAATTTATCCCGTAACCAATTAAGTAAAAAGTGGCTCATTGATTTCATGGGGGAAAGAGAAGCATGTGCTTAACGCCACTCCCAGAATGAGTGTTACTGTAACCTAAAAGGGTTTAATCAAATGTGTCATTATTCTATCTTTTTTCAAACATTTCTTCTGTCACATAACATTAGGACCAAATATTGGGGAAAATAAGTTGTTGCGCCTGATTTACTTACTAATTACAAGATACATTTTGTTTATGTGTCTCTCTTAGGGCTGTACTTCATTCTTTATCATGAATATATCTGATGTTTGTGAAACAAAAAAATAATAAATCGTGGTCATCACTTATGCTGTTTGTAACTGGCCATAAGCTTTTTCCTCATTGCCCGGCCATCTTGGAAGCGCTCCTCTGGCAACGGCAGGGCCAATGTGAGTCGGCAAAATGGTGACCGCCAAGAAGACGAAAAAATCTTGAGAGTCCATAAGCTCTACTGTCTTTCCCCAAAAAATAAGACCCTGTCTTATATTTTTTTAAACCCTGAAATAAGCGCTTGGCCTTATTGCCATGTGCTCAAAAGCCCGATTGGGCTTATTATCAGGGGATGTCTTATTTTGGGGGAAACAGGGTAGACTTCAGCTGGTTATGAAATGTGGTAATAAACAAACTTGGATATAAACTTGGATATAAACAAATTCTGAAAATGATTCAGCAAGTTGGTTATCCTAGCCAATAACTGTCCTGCTTTGAGAAAATCAGAAATTTTCTGATTTTCTATGCTATGCTATGTTGGGCAAAACTGGTGTGCATCACTACAGTGCAGTGGTGGGTTGCTCCCGGTTCTGTCCGGTTCTTTAGAACAGGTAGTAAAAGTGGTGGGAGGCTCTGCCCACCTGCCTGGACATCATAATTGATTATCTGTGCATGCACAGAAGCGCGCATGTGCTCTCCTGTTGCGAACCGGTAGTAAAGGTAAGTAGAACCCACCCCTGCTACAGTGGCAACAATATTGAACTGGGAATAGCTTGTGGGAAGTACTAGAGAGTATGTACACTTGCTATAATTGACCCAGGTGACTCTGACATCATTAGAAGCATGCCAGAACAAACCAATGAGAAGTAAAATTAATAAACCTTAAATCTTGTGTAATAATCAGCCATAAAAGGTAGCCCTCCAGACAACTGGAAAAGTGGTCATTGATAGGGCAAGCCACAAGCTCTAAAACAAGCAAAAGACAAAAGGGGAAAGAAAGAAGCTTAATTTGTAGAAACTTATTGAAACAATTGAACAACAAAGGTAAAGGTTCCCCTTACACATATGTGCTAGTCGTTCCCGACTCTAGGGGGCGGTGCTCATCTCTGTTTCAAAGCCAAAGAGCCAATGCTGTCCGAAGACATGTGATCTCCGTGGTCATGTGACCGGCATGACTAAACGCCAAAGGCACCCGGAACGCTGTTACCTTCCCACCAAAGGTGGTCCCTATTTTTTCTACTTGCATTTTTTACGTGCTTTCAAACTGCTAGGTTGGCAGAAGCTGGGACAAGTAATGGGAGCTCACCCTGATACGTGGCACTAGGAATTTGAACCGCTGAACTGCCGACCTTTCGATCGACAAGCTCAGCATCTTAGCCACTGAGCCACCGCGTCCCTCATACAGATATAGAAACCCATAAAAGCCTATAGGAATAAGTCATAGCCATATTGTCAGGTTTCGAGGTCGTTTCAAGCTGCATTTACTCTAGTGCTGACACATATGCAAAGCCATGGTGATCTATAGAGGTAATCCTCAACTTACAACAGTTCATTTAGTGACTATTTGAAGTTACAACAGCACTGAAAAAAGTGACTTGTGACCATTTTTCATATTTGCAACCGTTGAAGCACCCCCATGATCACATGATCAAAATTCAGACACTTGGCAACTGACTGATATTGATGACGTTGCAGTATCCTGGGGTCTTATGATTGTACTTTGTGATCTTCTGACAAGCAAAGTCAATGGGAAAAACCAGATTCACTTAACAACCATAATACTAATTTAACAACTGCAGTGATTAACAACTGTGGCAAGAAAGGTAAAATGGGGCAAAACTCACTTAACAAATGACTTACTTAGCAACAGAAATTTTGGGCTCAATTGTAGTTGTAAGTCAAGGACTACCTGGAAAAGGAAATAAATAGCATGTATAACATATGTACATAAAATACTATGCATACATAACTCACAAAATCCAGTGTCAGCGTTCCAGAAAAACCCCAACTCCAAGTAAAGACGCGGAAGCAAGCATTTTCCAAAGTTCTCTTTACTAGAATAGGCAAACTGGCACATCTGGGAAAACCCGAATCTGAAAAGCCCGGGTTTTCCCTCAGTAAGTCAAAACCCCCAAAACCATCCCTTTTCTCCCCCGTCGATCACATGCTCCAATCAACATCCGTTCCATCTCGACCCAGCCCCCTGACCACTCCTTCTCCAGATGCTGGATTGCCCTGACCTTGACTGACAGGAAGAATGCTATTATGTCTACTAACAATCCCTCTCCTTAATCCCCCCCTCCTACTTTCCCACATATGAGAAGGTGGCAGCATTGAAGCTTCCGGCCTAATATGGCTTCCAAAGCTGATATCCAGTTTGGTGTACTAGTTAAGGCACTAGGCTGGAAAGCAGGAGATCATGAGTTCAAGTCCTGCCTTGGGCACAAAACTATGGGGCCTTGGGCCAGTCACTCTCTTTCAGCCTTAGGAAAGAGGCAATGGCAAAGCACTCTGAAATCTAGCCAAAAAATCTCCTTCAGGGACTTGTTCAGGCAGTTGCCAACATTGCCTTAAAGGTACAAAAAACAATTTCCCACAAACGGTCCAGGAAAAAAAAGAGACCAATACAAATCTAGTTTCTACTTTGTTTGAAAAAAAACAAGGGTTTGTTTATACAATAAATCTCTGGACTATACCATACTAACCACCCACATCCCTGAACCTGGACATTAAACACCATAAGAAAAGTCACATGAGCTACCTTTTACAAAAGCCTTTCATTATATTTAATAGTTATGGGTGTCCACAGCAGGGATAAAAATGAACAAAATGGGGGCATTACCCCCTTTTAATATTTATTCAATTTCTATCTGTTGGAAAACAATGGGACTTTGTGTCTTGTGTCCATCGTTTAGGAGCCTGGTGGTGCAGTAGACTAAACTACTGTTAAAAATAGTATTTAGCTGCCAGCTGCTTGCAATTACTGCGAATTCAATTCTCACCAGGCTCAAGGTTGACTCAGCCTTCCATCCTTCCGAGGTAGGTAAAATGAGGACCCGGTTTGTGGGGGCAATAAGATGAGTTTGTACAAAATAGAATAGTAGGCCAAAAGCCCTACTAAGCAGGTATATACAAAAGTATGAAGGCTATTGCTTAAAAGCATTGTAAGCCTCCCCGAGTCTCCGGAGAAGGGCGGCATATAAATCAAACTAATAAATAAAATAAAATTGTGTGATTTTTTTTTACCACCATATGACCCTGTGTTACATATGGTTTTTAGAAAGGCACATCTAAAACCTCTGATATAAAATGCAGATAATCCCTTACTGAATATGGTAATTCTGGTATCTGTCCATCACATAATATACTACTGGAACAGATGACTGCAGTCCCCTTTTTAATTCCGTCCCAGAAAATCAGAAAACCTGCAGAAGATGTGAGAGATACATAAATAAGTGCAGGGAAGAACAGAAAACTCACAGAGTAGCAATGCAAGTCCGCTCATATGTCATTGGACAGTAGCCATTATCTACCTGGATGACATCCTTAAAATATATTCATCAGACATAGCAATCTGAATACATTTAAAATCCTATCCTGTGGTCCAGTAAATGCACGTAGAAGAGTTACCATCTTAAAATTCACCCAATTGAAATTTCAAGCAGCACAGTAATGGAACTTACACACTCCTTTTGTCGTTGGGTCAACTTGACCTAGAAGGGGCGCTTATCAGATATCCTTCATCACACAACCCTTGTGCCAAAGTTGATTTACCTTGCCAAACTTTAATGTGACATGAGACAACAGCCATTGGAGTTTGTCCTTCCAATTTCAAAGACCAGAAAAAGAATCCCCATAACTTTGCAGTAGAAGAAAAGCCACAGATGCTTTCTAGCACTTTGTTTATTTTGCAAGAGAAAGGACCCACAGCAGACAATAAAAGGACTGAGGCTGGGAGGGACATTGAATTGCAGGCTAAAAATATTTAGCCTAGGAATAGGACAGCTGAAAAGACGGATTTTATCTCTCCACCGATACAGTCATGACAAATAAAGAGCAGGCTGTAGAAAATAAAACTGGGAAGCAGTTTGGAGAAACAGCTAAAGAGATAAGGGAAGCTCTGCAGTTCAGACATACCTCCAGCTCAATATACCTCAAAGCAATTGCTGGCTGTTTTGATATTTGCTGTCAGCCCAGAATAAGAATAAAAGAAGGGAAGAATATCCTTTCCTTCCTGGAGGTCAAGCAGCTTAGGAAGCTATAAACAAACACATCACCAAATTTATGTTGCTGATGGCCACTTGCCATTGCAGACATATTTAAGATGCACTGATATGTAGCTAGATATTGTGGAGGCAAGGCCTGCATTAATGTGGCAGCAGTGTGAGAAGAAAACTGGGTCTTTACAAGGAAGGAGAAAAAATAAAATAGAAGCCCAACTGACCATCTCTCTGCTGGAAGCCAACCAACAAGATAGCAAGCTGGAGGCCTGCCACCCTCCATTAATGTGCAAACCCAGGCAGAACTTTTAGAAGCAAGGAACCCTTTTTACCTATGCCTAACGACAGCAACTGTAACATAGTCAAAGGCTTAGCACAGGCCGAGATCAGGAATAAAATAAACAAGTGACAAATCCACAAGGAAAAAAAAAAAAAAGCAAGAGACATGGAGAAATAGAATTCATAGTTCAATTTGCAGCAAGGTAAATGCAACAGCGCTGAAGCTTGAAAAGTTGTTTTCAGCATTTTCTCCCAGAGAGGAAGGAAGAGAAATAAATAAGCCAAGAGAGCCACCACCCAGATGCACAGCTGAGGCACCTTACTCATTAAAGGCTACTCTCCTGCTGGCCTACTTTTTGCCTGGTTGATCTGACTTCTGAGTTCAATCCTCTGCTGTTGTTTCTTTAAAGCAGGGTTCTCCAAACTTGGCAACTTTAAGATTTAATGGACTTCAACTCCCAGAATTCCCCAGCCAGCTGGCTGGGGAACTCTGGGAGTTGAAGTCCACAAGTCAAAATTGCCAAGTTTGGAGAGCCCCGCTTTAAAATATGCTTTAGCTTGGGCCTGAGAAGCTGGTCTTCAGACTCTGAGGAGTTGTCGATAAGTATATAGGCCCAGAATCCTGAGACCTTGCTGAATCTGCATCACCCAGAGTCAGAGTAAGAACTCTTAACACCAGATACTTCTGGCTTTATGTCCTCCTCTTCATTAGAAGACAAGTCCATCTGGGCCTTAATAGATTAGTTGACAATTGGCTCTTGTTTCTTCTAAGGCAAGGGTAGGCAACTATGGTCCTTTTATGACTTGTGGACTTCAACTCCCAGAATTCCTGAGCCAGCCATGTTAGCTCAGGAATTCTGGGAATTGAAGTCCACAAGTCATAAAATGGCCATAGTTGCCCACCTCTGTTCTAAGGGGCTGAACCTCACCATTTCTCAGGATTCAGTGAGGTACCTCATTGTGACCTGGGCTCAGGTCCTAGGGTACTTGCTCAGATGAGGAGGGGAAGGATATGGGTCTATAGATAATCCTCAAATTATGACAATTTGTTTAAAAACCATTCAAAGCTATGGCAGTCCTCAAACTTAGGACCATTGCAGCATCCCTGTTGAACAAACCTGACCCATTTGGCAATTGGCATGTATTTACAATAGTTGCAGTATCCCAGGACTTTCCAGCCAGGTTCTGATAAACAAAGTCAGTTGGAAAAGCTAGATTTGTTTAACAACCATGTGATTCACTTAACCGTGGCCAAAAAAATGATAGTTAAATCTGGCAGGACTCACTTAATGAATGCCTTGCTTAGTGACAGAAGTTCAGATCTCAATTGTGGTTGTAAGTCGAGGACTACCTATAGTACAGACTCAAAATGAGTTCTTCTTAGCGCTCAGTCCAGGAGTCTGAACCAAACCCAACAAATGGAGCAGCTTCACAGTGTTTCTGACAGTAGCTAAAAGCTCCTTTCCCTTATTAGTTGTTTTCTCCTCTGGAGTGTTAACAACATGCTAAAAGACTTCAGTTATTACTGGTGAGGTAAATATTGGGTTACCTCATAACAGTGTCAGCGTGTAACCAATATTAATGCTGTATATAATATAGGATACCAAAACTGGAAAACCAGGGATGCAGTTAGGTTTTGTGTTTGTGTGTGTGTATGAAGAGAGAGAGAGAGGGAGGAAGAGAAAGAGAAATTTCAGACATCAGGAGAGAACAGATGTTCTTGGAGATAAGCAGAAGCAGCTTTAAGCCTTTTACTTTTAAAACCAAATTTCCTCAGTTGAGAGAGAAAGAAAAAGAGAGAGAGAGAGCTGAGTTTGCAGCCTAGCAGGCTGCTGTGTCCCACCAAACATGCTTTTGGAAGCACAGAAAATTGTGATAACAAGTCAGCATTTGGACTGCTGTTTCATCTTCTCTTATGGTATCAGAGAGTTTAAGTCGCATCACTATAAAAAAGTTCAAGGTTTTCTTCCTGGCCCCATCACTCTATCTCATGTCCTCTGTTTTTCATTTCAAAAAGAGAAAAGGGGAAGGGAAGGAGAAAATTGGAGCTTATCTCTGTTTTAAACGTCGCTATTAGGAAACACCATTTAAAATGAGTCATAATAGCTGATGCTTATACTGCAAATTGGGTTTGAGGATTGTCCTTTTGTATCCTTTTGACTGATATACTTTTACCTTTTTTTAATTGATTGCAGATTCCCGTGATGGTTGGTTTCAGTACTGCACAGGGTCAAAATATAAATTGAATAGAATTTTTGTACAGCTGGGGCATAGCTGTACAATAGCATCACTAGAAGAGAATATTTGTAAATTAGGGTTGAACTGTGGGGGTTCTGTTGCTCTCTAAGCTTGGTTGTTTTCTTGTAGATGTTTCATTACCCAACTACATAACTTCTTCAGTGGGCTCATGATGATGTTACATGGTTGGATAATGAAACATCTGCAAGAAAACAATCAAATTCAGAGAGCAACAAGAACCTCAAATAGCATATATGAGTTTCAGAAAGTTTTTTAAAAAAATCAATTCAGGCAAATGAATTTTAAAGCATTGAAAGATTAGAATCTATCAAGTCAATGTCAACTCTTGGTGACCACATAGCAATCTGTTCTAACCTGGTCCTTCAAGTCTTCCAATGGTGTACTCAATGTTGTTGTAACTGCCTTGCTTCTGATCATCCTCCTCTTTTTCTCTTTACCTCCAAATTTCCCAGCATTATTATTGAGGACATAGTGAATGGCCTTAAAGGACAGGAGGAAAAGTCGTTAACAAGCAAGGTCAGATAAGCTGGGCTTTGAGCCAGTTCCAAGAAACTAATTTGAGAAAATGTGCCAGACAGAGCCCTCCCTTGTTCAGAAAGAGATAAAGTGAGGGATGGGGAAATAACATTTAGGTTTGCAAGATTCTGTTACTATAGCTGTTATAATAAAAGTAGTTCTGATCTATAAGGCATTGGTTTCTTAATATGGATTGTCTTATAGGTTTAACAACTGTAAACTTCTACAGTTAGGTAAGTGTTTTCATAAGACATCATGTCCAAAGTATGATATAATTTGATATTGGTTAACTTGTGCCTTGAGTAAGAGTCATGGTTAATTTGCTCAAGGACCTATTTGTTTCTTTTCCTAGTTATCCGAAATATTCTCCAGAGTTTTGTCCGAAACCAAAACTCAACATGTCTTTTTATCTTGCTTCTTTAAAGTCCAGCTTTCGCTTTCATAGAATGTGACAAAGAATACCATTGCTGGCATGATTATGATTTTTGTTGATATAAACACATACAGTATGTATTTAAATATTTTTTCCCAAAGCTTTCATTTCTACTCTATCAAGTGCTACAATAGTTTGCGATGTATTTTTTGACTGCTATTTCCTTTGCTGTTGATAGTCAATCTACAAAGGCAATAACTATTCACTGTAATATCTTTATTGTCAGATTTAAGACTGATTCTGCTGGCTGTCATGAACCTGGTCTTCTTTATATTTAATCTTAATTCCATTTTTTCCATTATGCTCCTTGATTTTTGTTAGAGCTTGAAAATCATTTGCATTTTCAGTTATTAGAGAGTAACATCATGAGCATAATGTACTGATGTTGCTTCCTTCGTTTTTTAAAACTACAGTATCTTCTTTCAATTCCATTTCTTTCAGTATATATTCAGTGTATTCATCAATCAGTTTCCATTGCCTGTCTATGTGCTTTTCTTGGTAAAATACAAGAGTTCATCACTGTCTTTCCAATGCAGAATAAAATGATGCCTTTGTCATTTTCACTAAAATGAAGTTATGTCTTGGTTAATCCACTTTTTCATATATTCTTTAACTTGTTCCTCCTTCTGTTCTTCCTTCACCCATTTTTCGTAGCCCTAATCTTTATTATATTATACCTATTCTTCTTCCTTTCCATCGTCTTCCTCCTTCAAATTTCAATCACAATTTCTACATTTTACAATTTTATGCTCATCAGCACTTCATATTGCGTCTTACTTTGTTCCATACATAAATCTTTTTATCCATTTTAACCCTTTGTGATAACTATAAATGGAAAAGCTATTTATAGTTGCCAACTATATCTTTCTGCCATTAATTGCTCTCCTTAGTGATTTTTCAATAATTCCTGGTACATTAACCATTTGTCTTTGCCTGTTATGCTAAGATATATAAAGTTGTTTTCAGACATCATTTATATTTATTCTATATTCTCAAAATAGCACTTCTAATAAATTGTTTTTTAAAATCCATATTAAGTTTATTATATCATAAATATCTATACCATCCAGACCTAAGGCTTCAAATTCTAAAAGTCTTTTGTTTCTCATCAATACCTATTATTTCACCCAACCCAAGGAACAAGTTGCAAAGAACAAATTTCAAATCTGGTAAACCAATCCTTTTCTTTC